CCCACCGTCGATTCTACCCTTCCGCACCCTTCGGCACTTCTAACGTACTCCGAATACCCCCGGGGAATTTTGTGCTCAAGAGAAACTTCTTGGTTGTTCGACTTTTGAAATTCTTCGAATTTCCGTGATTTTCGGGAAACAGCGTTACGGACGCGTTGGATGCTGTTATATCGGGTGTCAAACTTGACTGTAGGTAGTCTACGACGAATACAAGGGTTTGATGTGGAAAAAAAAAATTCATCTTCTTTTTATAAAATGCATACGTATAGCGGGTGTAGTAATTTACGCAACGTGCGAGTACAGTCCGAGCGTAGGTGAGAGTAGGAGATAGTGAATGAAAAAAGAAAGGGAAAAAAAGAAGAAAAAAAGACTAAAGGAATCTTCTGTGACAGCTGCCCGTTTCAATGTCAATATTGTCCGGCGCTCGGTTATCGTAACTTTACCAACGTTATCTAACGTGACCGTCGTTATCGGGTCGCTCGAGGAAAGAAAAGCCCGGGGAAAGGAGAGAAAAGAAGTAACGAGAGCGCGAGAGCGAGAAGATCGTGATGGAGAGTCGGAGAAAGAGAGATAGCGAGTTATAGGGTAATAAAATGAATATCGCAATAGAAATCATATTGAGCGAATAATTTTTCATTTCAAATAAAGCGCGAACCGTATTGATCGACGATCAATTAAATAATGCGACAGAGACGTCGCGACGGTGATATATACAAGATACGTCGTCGAGATGCGAATAGCCGGAATAGAGGAGAGTCGAGATTGGGGCCATTGCAGGAATGCGGCGAATTTGAGGTGTGGCACCTCCCGTACCCCTCGCGCACCTCAACCACCTCCCACATCCATCTCAAACCGTTCCTCGGCTCACCTCCTTCATCTGGGATAGTTTATACGTGTGTGTATATATATATATATATATATACACCTCAATTAAACTTTGCCAAGATTAATGCCCTCCCCCACTATTCATTTAATATATCCACCTCCCCTTCGATTCCCTCCTCCGTGTCTTCTGCCTTTCCTTTCCTTTTTTTTTCCGCCACCTCCACCGACCGTCCATCTACTCTGTGCTCCGATACGTGAAACGTGTATGTGAATCTTTTATGTCGTAGGCTTCACGGAGTCTCTTCTCGAGTTTTGTCGCCGAGTCGAGCAACGCACGCAGATTGCGTGTGCGACCTTAGTGTCTGCCGACTACATGCCCGACTCCGTTGTCATTTGCAATGACGCCAGTCAGGAGGAACATGAGAACATGTAGGCGAGCAATGATATACTGATATTACAGTGCACAGTGTGTACTAAGGGATACGTAGGCCTAAAGCTACCCTCACACCGGTGCAGTGGAACTGACGAAAGATCGCTATGCGAATGGTCCTTGCCCGTACGCCTTGTACGAATTGGCTGTGATTTTTGACGATCGTCCTTCGCGACCCTGAGCAGATGCGGTAAGCGGACTGAAGATAAAAAAATAAATGTTTACGCCTTTTAGATAACGCGAATACGTAATGCTGTGCGATTAAAGTGTGGTTTTTTTTTCCAAGTATCAAAAGCGAGAGTGAAAAGGTGAATGGAAGAAAAAAGTTTTTTTTCCCTTCATCTCCAATATACCCAAAATACGTAGAATCGAAGAGGCACGTAGAGAGACACTTTACGAACGCATGTGTTTACTGGAAAACTCATAATGAGGATCGAATTACGTGAAGTTTAGGTTTTTGACGTGTGGGTGCAGCAGGGAGATCAGTATGTGTGTCATGTATAGAAAAGATGGGGGTGGGACGGAGTTGAGTGTTTGGTACAGAGGGAAAGAGAGAGAGAGAGAAACGACGATACCGGAGGCTGTGGTCCACGTAGTTGAAGAAAGAGAGAGAGAGAGAGAGAGAAGGGCGGGAAGAACAAAATGCAGACTCAAATTACTTGGACCACTCGAGAAAGAGCACGGCTCGTAGGAATTCTCACAAAACCGGAATGCGGAGGGAAACTTAGAAATGGGAAGGGAGAAGAAGTGGCTTGAGAGCGAGAGAGAGAGCGAGAGAGAGAGAGAGAGAGAGAGAGAGAGAGAGAGAGAGAGAGAGGTAGAACCGCGGCGTCGGTGGCACATATTGCGTTTGCGCCCAAAATAAATGGCCCTTCTCCACATCCGTACTTCTGCCCGATCCCTTCAGTGCGTGTATAAGTGAAACACCCTGTACATGTAATATTTCGTGAAGAGTATCCTACGTCCCGTAGGATTTCTGCTTTCGATCCCTAATGCCCTCGTTTGTCACCGGAAACCAGCTCCTTTTTCAAGTTTTCGCGCGAAACGACTTGGCCTCTTCCGATATTCGCCGCAGTGTCGCCACCGTCGTCTTTAGCTCTCACGCGCATACGATTCTCGCAGTGAACGTCAAGAATTACGTCCGAAAAGACATTTTTTTTTCAAAATCTGCTCCCCTCAGGCTACACTCATACGTCGCTGGCATTTTTGGCGCGAAATTCAAACGCATCCGTACTTTGCACTGGCCTCGTTTGTCACCGGGCGAATTTCCATTTTTCCCGCATCACTCGGCTCGCTTCGAAATGAAATGACTTTCTTGCCTATCCGCCTTTAGGGCAGAGACACAGACGGTTGGGCATCCCCTACGGCAAATTCTACTTACGCGTCTAAAACTCTACGGTTTCCAGCCGCTCATTTATCAGGGCCCGTAATGCTCCCGTTGCTTTGGCAATGAAGAAAAAAAACTCGAGCCTGGCTCTTAGCTCAATGCCAAATGAAGAACTGGCCCTGTTTCCTACACCGCACAAAAAATGTTGAGCCTCCGTAGAGCGTCTATATACAGGAGAGTATTCATATACTTCCGGTTCACTTCGGTAAATTGATAAAACCCCAAATCTCCTGTCTCCCCGGCAATTTTCATTTTCCACCCGACAAGCAGAAGTTTTACATTTTTGCCCGAGGATCAATTTTTCAAAACGACAGAGAAAAAACGATTTAACAGCATCGGGCCAGGTATACGGGGGCCCCACGGTGCCGAGATAAATACGTGCGCGCATGTGACGGCAGGGAAAGATTTTCAAGAGTAAAATGGGACCTTTGCTTTTCCCATAGAGTTTCGCGCTGCGTTACCACGTGAATGCTACGTGAGTTTTCGGGCCCAGGTATATTTCGTTCTGGGGCCCTTCGGGCCCTTTTGGACGTGCCATGCGCATACGTAAGCGTGTTTTCTAGCAGAGTATTAGTGTGTACACAGGACCATACCTGGCGAGGCGAATCTCGGGACCATTAATATCACACAGACGCAATTATTAGGCAGCTGTTCGAAGTACAGAAAAGCCCAATGGCAGGTACACGAAAACTCGTACGTGTTTTTCAGGTACCGACCAGCCC